GCATTAAAAAAATGCAGTCAGGGGCTCCTGAGTGGCTCAGTCGATTAAGCATCTGCCTGTTGATTTCAACTCAGGTCTTGATCTCACGGTTTGTGAGTTTGAGCCCCAAAGGGATTCCTTGCTTGGGATCCTCTCCCTGTCTCTATGTCCCTCCCAGCTCTCTCTCTCTCTCTTCACCACCCCCCCCCCAATAAATAAATAAACATTAAAAAAATTCCAATCAGGAAGATTTTTAGTTCTATGCTGTCCCACATGTTAGCTAATTAAATAGCTAGTAGAGATTTCTTTGGTACAGGAGCATTAAAAGCACATTTCTTCCCTTTTAATTATGCAAATAGAAAAGAGCTTGGTCAAGGACTTCTATCCCCTTCGAATAGTCCATTCATTCCCTTCAGATTTTCTGTTTAGAACATCAACAACAGATGTATCGGGAATGGAAAAGGCTGCTCTAAGGGTCCCCTGGCTGCCCAAGCATATTTGAGTACCCTCAGGAAAGGGTAATGTATCTCCTGCTTGATAGGAGTATGGGAAGGTGGAAATCTCAGATGATTTACTGTGTATTTCATGTTGAAAGCATACCTGTGAGAAAGAAACAGCTGTCTGGGTGACTGAAGATCACAGCCCTTGTATTAGGAGGGAATCCTACATAGCACTGATATCCAATCACTGGAGATACTCTGGGTGTAGTGCGCCAGGAGGAAGAGGGCATCTACGCGAACAACTGTTCCATAGAACATGGGACAATTTGCTGCTGACAGTGGGGAGGCCTTCCTGACTCACCTGGACAAAGGTGAACTCTATTCATTCCCAGGTGGGGGGGGCTCTTGATGGCCAGCCCATTTTAACCAACCAGTAACTGAGTCATGCAGGGAATTTAAGTATAAAATGAAAAACAATTTCCATGACTCTATCACCTGTAGTGAAAAATCTTTTAAAATAGTCTCTTCACTATGTCATCAGATTTCCAGATGTTCTCTATTCTCTGGAAATATCCACAACTTAATAAACTTTCTCTATAAGCCTGGGCATTTTTTTTTTAATTTATTTTTTTTTCAACGTTTTTATTTATTTTTGGGACAGAGAGAGACAGAGCATGAACGGGGGAGGGGCAGAGAGAGAGGGAGACACAGAATCGGAAACAGGCTCCAGGCTGTGAGCCATCAGCCCAGAGCCTGACGCGGGGCTCGAACTCACGGACCGCGAGATCGTGACCTGGCTGAAGTCGGACGCTTAACCGACTGCGCCACCCAGGCGCCCCATATAAGCCTGGGCATTTTTCATTCTGTAAGTTGAGTTGTATGAGTAAAAGCCAGTTGTGTTTATTGACAGATTTACTACAGTTTTAGTTTTTATTGCAACTGTACAATGTAATGAAACATTTTGCAAATTGACAAAATATAAATGTGGAAAAAAAGAGAGCTGTTATTTATATAGAAGCTAAGGAAATACTCTGGAAATACTCAAAAAAGAGAAGCTGCTCAAGAAATTGCTGTGGAATTAGATGTAAGAGTAACTGTAAAAGACTACAGGAGGAAAATCAGAAAAATCTCAGTCATTACATTTTTACGCCCCTTTAAAGTATCAAAACCTGATCATCAGAGAAATGATTTATGGATGCGATTTTTGCAGGTTATAATCAGTTGACTCTTACCCAAAGGAAAAAGCTTGGTTTGATATTTGAAGATTGGTGAATGTATGTACATGTGAAACTTGAGGGTACAATAAATCATTCAAGAATGTGCATAATTTGTCTTACGATTCTCCACTTTTAACTGACTTTTGAAGCAAATCAACAGGCCACTGGCCAAGGGCACATGCAGTATCTTCTGCACTTTATCCAGGCAGGGCCACCATCTCTCCTTGTGGGCTTCCTGGATGAGTCATTTCATGGAGTTTTTGTGCAGGAAGAGGTAAGATATTGGGTGGTCTCTGAACTTTCTACTCCCCTCATGTGAGATGCAATGTTAGAAACTTTCTCCAGGTTTTGAACAATGGTCGGCAAGCTCTGGAGGCAAATGGCAGATCCACCAGTGCTGTTCTGATATTCCACCATATGGAATCCTGAACTTTATAGAGCCTGGAATAGGTATAAACATGAGAGCTGCCCCTCACAGCAAAACAAAGCTAACACTTGTGTTCACTGAGGATTTGAGAGAAGAGTTTTGCCATTTTCCTTTGCTGATTTGGGTCTTAATCTGAATCTATAACCTCAGCTGCAGCATTTTCCAGGGGAGATTTTCCTTGCACTACAGAAATATAATAAATGAGGTACACCAAAAGGGAGGAGAAGTTAGTGGTGCTTCTTTGTTGTCTAAAACATAGAATAAGGTTTAAAAGAAGCAGAATATTCATGGCATATATAATTACCAATTTAATGTAGCATTATTTCCAGCATTGTAAGCCAGCCAAAATGATATTGGTATAGATACAACCCTAATGACTAATTTCATCATTGCCTTTGGGATCTACCCAGTCATTACAACAAAAATGGATAATTGTTGGGACTGATTTCAGATAATAGTGCCGTTAGCCCTGCATTTTCCTAATCATTCTCTTTCTTGCTGTGTGCAAATATGGAAACCATCAGATACACTAAAGTTGAAACACGGAGGAAGGAGTCAGAGCGGGGGGTGGGGGAGAGCTCTGTCTCAGCAACTTCCACAAAGAAAGAACAATATTAAAATAAGGGCAGGGGTGCCTGGGTGGCTCAGTTGTTTAAGCGTCTGACTTTGGCTCAGGTCATGATCTCACAGTTTGTGAGTTTGAGTCCCACATCGGGCTCTGAGCTGACAGCTTAGAACCCGGAGCCTGCTTCAGATTCTGTGTCTCCCTCTCTCTGCCTTTCCTGTTCACACTCTGACTCTCTTTCTCAAAAATAAACATTAAAAAAAATTAAAAGATAAAATAAAATAAGGGCAGTCTTCCAGTCATCTCGGATAAATAATCATGAAAATGATGAATAGTCCTGGTATTTTCCTTTTCTCTCTAGCACAAAGAGTGACAATTTATTTAAAAGCAAACAAACAAAAAAACAAACCCAGATCCATTGAAAATTCACCACAGAGGTATCCACACAAAAATGATGCTACTTAAATCAGAAGTATTTTGAGCCTGGTGTGAGAGGATGAAATATTTCACTAATTACTATGCGGTGTATTTATAGCTTTAATTGTTTTCCCCCCACTTCTCAAGGGACATGTTTCTTCCAGAAGCACAGTTGCCGAAGCAAACATTTATTTTTATTGTTTCATGGGAAAAAAAACGGTAGTACCCAACCAGCTACTATAATTCTGTAAAATCAGCTGCTAGAGAATTTTATGTAATTTATACTTTTGCCCCAAGCAGTGCCTTAGGGTCTGCCTTATTTTTCTGTTTGAACTTGACAGAAAATAGTCTGCTGGAATGCAATAAATTTTAAAAGATTCTGATAATACTTCCTTTCAACGAATACTTTTCAGGCAAACTTACTGCTCTTTTCTTCTCTTCAAGAATGCTCACCTGAAATCCTGAAACATCAATTAACCATTAAGCCAAAACATACTTTATTTGTACCCTTGAAGGAATATGCCTCTTTAAAAAAGATATCTCCTCATTGCAAAAATAATACATGTTCATTGTGGAACATCTGGAGTACAAAATATACAGAAAAAAATTAATCTACTCACTAACCAGAGGGAAGTATTGTAAACATTTGGGTAAACTGGCTTCCAGTGAAAGAATAGAAATCTGAATTAAATCTTAAAAATGATCTTTTATTCCTAAATAAAAAACCTATTTTCCTTAAAAAAAGTTTTGTTACAATTTTCCTCTGGGACTTCCATTTCTTGGATCTTTGGAATAGTATTTGATAGTGAACTTGACGTGCACAGTTTAAAATTTTTATCATATTGAATGCTAAGAGACCCTGAAGTCTAAAATATTTCAGTTGATGAATAATATACTTATGTAAGAACACCGTTCAAAAGGATAATTTAAAAAATCAGGCCAGTGACTTTCAGAATGATGATTTCAAACTAAGCTTTGAGACAATGCTAGTACATGCTTCAGAGAAATATCTATTTGTTTGGTATGCATACTTTAAGCATATCCCAAAGTGGAACACTAGCCCAAAATTCAACCAAAAGGGGGCCAATCTGCAGGGGTATGGAAACCTCTCTAAAAAGCTTCCATGAGTCTCACAGTACTCAATAAAAGAGAAGACTCACCTGTCTGTGTTTTAACCATTTGGAGATTCCAAGCTATGTATAGTTCTCCTGCCTCCACATGTTCCAGATTAAAGACATTTATCATGTGGGATCTTTTAGATAAGACCATCTTGAAAGCCAGGATTGCAATTGTGAGTATTCAAGAGCAATAGAGGCTGCCACTGGTAATATAGGCTTACATTTGTAGTTTCTCTTAAAGTGACATGTAAAGCTCTGTTTAGTATAGTCTCTTCCAAATGAATACAGGGAGATGAGTACAAGAAGAGTGTCAGGGCTGTTTATACACACACACACACACACACACACACACACACACACGCCCCTTATTAACATATTCCCAGCATGGTAATCAAGTGTCTTCTAGTACTCTTTCTATTGAATACAACTATCAGGGTATTTATTTCATTTCCATACTCAAATGCCTTCATATAAATCCTTTCTGATAACGGGAAGCCTGAAGTGAGAATTCACTGGAATACACGTTCTCAGAGTTTACTGGTGTATTTTTGACAACCAACTCCTGTTCTTCTGCATATGTGTATTTGACTGGGTGTCACTTGAGTATCGTGTAGCAATGGAAACTTTTACAGGAAAACACCAAGAATTAGTAGCAAGGCAGAGTTACCACATTCACAACAGACTTGAGCACTGAACAGAAGATGGGGAGTCCAGGATCCATACCACCTCCAAGGAGATGTTCATTGCCCGCCCCCCTCCTCCCCCCCCCACACACACTGGGAGGGTGAGTGAATGAACCTGAGAAGCACAGCAGGGAAACAGTCCTAGGGCGCTTACCTGAGGGCTGTTCTGTAGTGGTAGATGGCTTCCCGGTTCCGACCTTGATCCTTCAGGAAATTGGCGTAGTTGTAGTGAACCTTGGCATTGTGGGGCAGAGTTTGAACTCCAGACCTACAATTAATACATTAAAAAAAAAAAAAAAGAACAACAGAATACTAGTTAGGAATACTGTCAGTTTCTTTCATGTTTTACTCAGTTTCATGAACCTTCATTTGAAATGTCCATTGCATCCATCTAAGTCAGGTTTTCCAAAATTTGTGAATCGTGTCACTTTATTAAATATGCTTCTCTGGAAAATAATGAAGGCAGTGTGTGGTTGTGCACAACTAAACAAACATGCTGACCGCATATGAAGCAGAGGGGGTGGGATGGGATAATTCTCTGGAGAACAAAACTGCATGCTCAGGTTAATTCAGTTTTTTCCTTCCTTGCTTCTTTTGTTCACTTACAACCTTCCTTTAAAAAAAAATGGAGAGCATCTACAAAAATATATCATTACTAGACTGGCCTCCCTATTATGTTTTATTGGAAATTAACATTTCCCATGTACCAGGCCTGGGCTAATTAAAATAAATAAATAAACAAATGCAGGTATAATTATTATTTTACAAGTTGCAGACAAGGAAATGAGGTTTTGCTCAAAAAGGTAAAAAAAAAAACCAACCTTGCTTAAATGTCACTGTATTAGTCTGCTTGCACTGCCATAACCAAATACCTGGGGAACGCCCACAGAATAGCACTGAAATTTTGGAGACGATTCAAGGGGCAAGTGGGGGCAGGAGAGGAGCCATTTCTCATTCATAACTAGCCCACACATTTAACCTGTACACAACTACACAGCTGGTAAGTGGCAGAAATGGGACCCTAGAGGATTGTAGTTTGGTTCTAGAGTCCCTCGTTCCCTCACATGCAGGGAGGTGGGGGCAGGGGAATGATGAAAGAAAACGGGTTGGAGGGCCACTTGGAAAGAAAACTTCCGGAATTCTTGAGGATTAAATGCGGGAGGGGGACAGCTGATGAGAGAGAGCAAGGAGAAAGCATAACAACCTAGTTTCTGGGCAACTTTAATGCACTACTACCTCTCCCAGATAACATACTTTCATTCAGTTTTTAACTTATTTTTTTTTTAACGTTTACTTATTTATTTTTTGGAGGGGGAGGGGCAGAGAGAGAGAGGGGGAGAGAGAATCCCAAGATCGCGGGGCTCAATCTCACAAACTGTGCGATCGTGACCTGAGCCAAAATCAAGAGCTGGACACTCAACTGACTGAGCCATCCAGGTGCCCCTAGTTTTAAATTTAAAGGTAAGATTAATAGAAGGATTTCATACAAAGTGTTAAAACCGTGTTGGGGAAATATGCAAGGGCACTGTAATCTCTGTTGAACGTTCAGTGAAATAACCAGCAGAGACAGTCCCACTTAAAATCCACTGGCTGGACATCTGAGGAACTCTCCAGAGGACAGAACTTACAGAACTTACAAGGGGCTAGAGACCAATCCAAGGGCAACATCATCTGAAGCAGCAGACTCCACACTTACCCAGGTTGCTTCAGGGACTTCAAATGTATGGCAGGTAGCTGGGATTTTTTGGTGGGTGGGGTGTGGTTGAACACAGACTAAATCTGTATCAGGAGCAGTTAAACCTCAGATCCTCATCCCTACCCTTAAAAGCTAAGTGACTTTTTTCATTATTCTTTCCCCATCCCAGCAAAAGGCAGGAGTTTTACTCTCTGGAAAAATAGAGTTAGAGAGATCCTGCACTCAGGAACAACAGGTACAGCCGAGGGAAGGGGGAAGAGCTGTACCTTAAAGGTAGATTATGGGAGAATCTGTATTCTGAACAGTGGGATCTCAGTTTGTCCTCCTTAAAAAGCTCTCTGAATAGCCAGGATTAGACTTCTCGGGAGGAGCCTGGAGGAATTTTCTCAGAAACTGACCCACCCAAGACAAAAGATATACAAATGCTGACATTTGGGTTCTCCAGTAAAATCATCAGTATCCTTCAATCGCCCTATGGTGAGGTCCAACAGCTGCCACATAGACCTAGAATTTTAATGTAATATTTAAAATGGAAATTACCCAAAGTGTTTCTAGTCACAGGGGAAAAATCTGGGTCAGAGTGGTAATAATGGCTTTAAAAAATTCCAATTTTTAACCAGGAAAACTTCTGATTTTTCTATCCAGAAATAAATAGTGCAAGGTAATAGGCAGATTTTAAAGGTAACTTTGATTTCAGCGTGGATATAACTGGCATATTGGAATTGACCCTTCCCTCTGTGTGATTGGCATGGTGACTCTCAATTATATTTCACCCGAGGAACAGACAATTAGGCCTGTGGAAGCATAGCCCCTGCTCGGATCAGGCATTGTTTAGTGATGGCCAGAGGAAGTAATAATATTCATAACAGGCAAGCTGATGTGGGTGGAGTAACTTGAATCCTAAGAACACACTGCTTTTTCCATTGTTGTTTTTGACCTTTATGTTCTCTCTGTGATATTTTTCTGCTATGTTTTTCCAGTCTCTCATTTTACAATGACTAGTTTGTGGATAAAGGGAAATAAACAACTGGCCAAAGGCAAAACTTTCCACGTTGCTGTAACTGGCCAGGCTGCTCTTGCTTCCAGAACCAGGCTTTTCTATTTGCTCTCTTGATGCTATGGTTTCATAACCCCAACTGTTTTAGTGGAACCAAGCAACTTATATGCATTTATTCTACAAAGACATGTAGTATTCATTAATTATACAGCTGGATCCCGATCCCGATTAATAATCCCAGTGATGATTACAAAGAAAAATCTCCCATTCAATTCAGGATCCTAATTCATGTACCTCATAGTTCTCCTCCATGCCTCTTGAAAAATAACAGAAACAGGGGAGCAGGGATGGCTCAGTAGGTAGAACATACGACTCTTGGTCTCTGCGTTGTGAGTTTGAGCCCCATGTTGGGTGTAAAGATTGCTTAAAAATAAAAATCTTAAAAAAAAAAAAAGAAAATGAACAGAAACAATAAGAAAAGCCACTGCTTTCAGGTGTATCTCTGAGTTTATAGAAGATCAATTTGTTTTACTGGTGTCACTGGACAATAGGTCACAAGAACCATCCCCAAATTCCTGATTAGAAAACAAACGTTAAAAAAAATTAATGAGCAGCATTCAACCCAAGGGTAACAGGAAAGGAAAGTAAGAAGGATTTGTGGTTCTCTTCAATTCCGACCCTGCTCTGTCCTGAGGCAGCACAATGCCTCACTCAGGATGGCTGGTACTCACAGAATGGAATGCTCAGTTTGAATCAAGTTCTGGGCTGAGCACCCATTTCCATGGACTGACTGTCTCCTTTTATCCCTTCAGTAACTCATTGGTTGGGTAGAATTATTGTACCTCCATACTACAGATGAGGAAATTGAAGTTCAGAGAGATTAAGACCTTTTTTTCTAAAGTTACAGACCTAGAAAGCAGTTGAGAAGAGATTTCAACCAAGGCCAATACGTGGTCAGAACCATTCCTGAAGCTGATCAACACTTGATGCTAAGCCAGAAAGGTACCACAGGATATAGTAACATTATAATTTCACTATCACAATGTTTATCTTATTGGTAAGCAAACTATGGCCTTGTGGGCCACAGGCGCGCCAATGTGTTTGCCTATTATTTTTGGCGTCTTTCCCGAGACAACAGCAGGGTTGGGTAGTTGCAAAAGAGACTGTATGGCCCACAAAGACTAAAATATTTACCGTCTACTCCTTTACAAAAGAATCTGCCAATCCTCAGTATATATTCTCTGCCTTGGGAGGTCTGCTGATCTCTGGCTTAGCAATTCAGAAAGCAAGAAACAAATGTGTTTCCTACAGAGATGGAGAATAATCTAGGCCATAAATTCTTAATTGATGGTCCATAGATCACTTAAATACTTCATGAATGCGATTCAAAGAGACCCTTAACTACATTGCAAATAAAAGAAAAATGCAGCCTCTGCCTTTTCAGGTATTTCTAACATTTGGGGGGTAGAAGGGATTTTACCAAATTGTGTTACTACAGTATTTTTTACTCCAAACAATGTAAAATTGTGGACTGTTACCAGGCTCAGCTGGAGCTATGCAGTTACCCTCTTTCCAGGTTAGGATATCAGAATAGTTTCTTGGCACAAAGAATTAAAGAAAATATACCTTGCAGCTATTATTATGAACCAATCCCTCCCCCCACTCTCCCATTCTCCCTCTCTCTCTTTTTTATACTGGGCTTATTTAAGTTAGAAAACAAAGTAAAAAATGGGTGTAGCAAAGCTTACATATTCTTGTATATCAAACTTGGGTTCAAATCCTGCTTTCTCTTCACAGCTATTTCAGTTTGGACCAATTACTCTCTTTGAGCCTCTGATAAGACACAAGTTCAGGCTTCTTACGCTTTTGTGTGTACGATTCTTGCCAGTGGAACTACAAAGCCGTGAGGGGGGCCTGCATCTGTATCTCCTAAAAATACATCATATGGTGAGATCTTTTTTTGTAAGAGGAGGCCTCAGCTGGAAAGGCTGGGGCTTAACTGAAAGTTGGATTTTCTCCAACGCAAAGGTCTGTCCTAAGACACTCTGTAAGACTGTTCACAGCACTGCCAAGCAAAACCACCCCATGTAGTAAGAGAGGCCTTAATGAGACCATATGTCCAAGGGATGGTCAATGAGTTCACTGTTTAGAACAGAGGAGTAACCAGAAGCAGGGCCTCTGACACAGGGACATCGCCTTATCTAGAACTATTACAAACTTTTCTTACTCAATACAGTCAGTTCTTGATTTTGATCATTATGGCTAATTTGGGTTGTTTTCATCCTTACATACTTGGTTCAGGTCTACGAGACAACAGTTCATGAAGGGCCTGCGCTCTTCTTAGCGCTTAGGCACTGTCCTGCTCTACCTCTGTCTACAAGTGGCTACATTATGTTAACATGTGTTTATGTGTCTGACCCTACACAGACTTCCAGCTCCTCTTCCTCTTTCTCTCTTCCCCCTGTCAACACCAATCTCTTTCATACCCTAGAACAGAGCCTACAGCCATAACTTGAAAATTTACATAGTGTTTACCATACTGCCTTCTGCATCTTTTACATAATCATTTATTCTTACACTACACCTGAAAGATAAACATTCTTGTTATTACTCTAAGTTTCAAAATAAAGAGAACTAAGGCATGGAGTCGTTAAGTAACTTTCCCAAGATCATACAGCTATTAAATGATGGTACTTGGAGAGGACCCAGAAAGTCTAACTCCAGCCCCCACACTCAACCAGTAACCCTATCTTCCTTCAAAGATTCTTGATAAATGTTCATTCAACTGATTCCAGCATGACTCAGCACAGATGAATACATACAAATATCTGGTCTTTGAGGAGAAAGAATATTCTTAATGTCTCAGATTCTTAAAACTTTTCTTGGGACATACATAAATTATAATAGGCCAAGTTTTCAAAGAACTATCAAAAGCTTTGATTTGCATGTTATACAAAATTCCATTTGATCACCAAAGGCCTCTTAAGGGCACAAAACCTCTTCAAGCACATATGTGGAATGGTTATGTTTTAGTAATCCACTGTCACTTACTACATGCTTCCATCTGGAAAAACAAAAACAAAAACAAAGCCTCTGGATGAAAAGTCAATGAGCTTTTTGTTTTTCTGTTTTCAAACTGCTGGCATCAGCCGTAGAGTGTTGGAACATGAACTTGTTATCCTTGAAATAAACTGCTGCCTGCCAAAATCCACCCCCAAAGTTGATCTGATTAAGCAGTAAACATAATTAGAAGACACGACCTCTGTTAGTACCTTTATTCAAGCAAGGAGTTTAGCAAAGGGCAGAACCATTTTAAAGTTTCTCATAAAAGCACCAACTGTTGAAAGCAAAAGAAAAAAAAAAATTGAAGCCAACAGAGACTAAGAGGAAGTTGTATCACTGGATGTCCATGCCCCTGTATTTGCAGATTGACCTCAGCATGGGTAGAAAGAGGAGACAAGTCCTTTGTGGTCTGTGGGGACTGCATTGAAGGTGAAGGATGTGACAGAGACTAAACGGAATCTGGATCCTCAAAGTGAAAAAACATTAATTAAAAAAATCCCCACAAAAAACTTTACATGCCAACAGGTCTCTACAGTATCCACTGTGAAAATGATTATGACATTGACAATGGTGGTGATATAATAATAATAATAAACCAATAAGACTTGTAGAACAAACTAATATTTTTCTATTAAAAAAAAAGTTAAAAAGTTAAATTGCCAAGTAGCAAAATCAAATATATTGTTTTGAAATAGTAAAAAAGTGCAGTGAACATTTATCTTATTTATCTGTTCGTTCATTCATTCATTCATTCCTGGCAGCCCAGAGTCTTTGCCCTCCTCCAGTAGTTGGATTCCCTGTGGGGAGTTCTCCCTTGCCTCACTTTGTGAAGTCTCAGTGGTACCCCAAGGGGCCAGGCCTGCCCTAACTCCCTCAGTGGAAGTCAGAGGGGTTCCTTTGGCCAATCATTCATTTCGGTGCCTGGTGGAGACAAAGGGCAGGCACATGACCTAAAGCTCAAGCTCAGCTAGAGGACTTAATTTCCCTAGGACTTTGATGTGAAGATAAAAAACAACTTGGTATAAGTCTCATTTGCTTCCGGGCAGGCGCTCAGGTGCTCTCAAGACACCATCCAGACGTTTTTCCCATCTGCCACATGCCGGCTTCTTCACCGGCCCCTCAATGCCATGCACTTCCCTATACTCTCCCAATATGTTCCCTTTTATTTTCTCAAGTGATCCTAACTCTGTTTCAGTTGTTTGCTCCCAAAGTAGAAGTGTTGGGTATCAGCTGGCCAAGGAACCAAGTAAAAACCACAACGACCTAACTGGGCAACTGGGTCATAAGTGAGGACAGAAGCTGGAAGAGGGGACACAGATGGGGAGGATCCCTAGAAACTGGGAACATCAGCTGTGGCAGTGCCAGGGAGCCCAGGTGAAGGTCACTGGGGCAGTGGCATTAGGGAGACAGCCTAAGCTCCAGAAAACAGAGCGATGAGCAGGAGTCCCAGAGAATAGTTTATACTTCAAAACAAATTCGGGGCTTTAAGTTGACATCGTTATTTTCAGAAACAGCTTCTACACTACATAAAAACCTACCACGAGATGAAAAAAGCCTCCCATTTCTTTGTTCACAGTTAATGTTCAGAATAAAGCAACTAGATCACAGATCACAACTTGATATGCTGGAATATTCTAAAGAAAATGTATTGCATTTCTCTTCCTTCCTGCTGTGTGCTCACCTTTCTCATTTTCTTGTCTGCATAATGAAGTTAGGCTTATCATTTCATTTTGTTTATAGCTGATTTTACAGCCCAGCTCATCATTAACGACTGTCTCACAGACCCAGAAACCTTCCCGTGAGCCTTATTTTCATAAATTCACTTAGAATGAGCTCACATTAAACTTTATACAATACCATTTAAAAAACTAAAGCTAAAACCCAAAATGAAATTACATCTCCCACTTAAAACTTTACTAAAAAAAACCTGTGGGTTAATGATTATTGCCAGACCCATGTTACCTCATTTGTTTGGAAACAAATATCTAAGCAAAAAAATACATGGGAAGAGATTTGCTTTTATCCACCTAATCGTACCTGAATAGGGACTCTCTTGACAGCCAAATTTCATTCTGTTTCACCGTTTTCCAAGAGAAAAGCAACAGCAGCAACACAGTGGACACAGTCAGGGTGGTGGCCCCGCATCGATTCAGCCAAGTGCACAGCTTGCTCAGTCCATGCACAAAAAGGATGCAGTAGCCCATGCTGGAAAACAGTGTGGGAGAAGCAGGATTACTCTGGGGGTGCAGTGGAGGCCCCCTGTGTATTCTGTCCCATATAACTAGCTTTCACATAAAGCTTGTCCTGGGATGGAGAAACAAACATAAACACCCCTCTCTCACACACATTTACATGTCGGTTCTCTGATGGGCTGTACCAGCACATTGCTAGTCCTTTGGCACTTGTGTGGAGAATAATAGGTTCATCGTTTAGGCTCAGACTGCCCTGGATTTCAGAGCTCAGACATCATGAGAAGTCCCTTATGTATGTTCTTGGGCCCTGAATAGACCCTCTGACTCTTGCTTCCTTATGTCACTGACATCATATAACCATATTGGTATCATGTGTCTACATTTACTGTGCTGCAGCCGGTCACATCATGGCTTTGTGACAGGCAGTCCCCAAGACTTCCCTAGCAGGTCCTGGGAGGGATGCTGGTTACCAAGGAGCACTGGTGTCTGTCTCTAGGGATGTGCTGCCTGCTGTGTACCCACTCTGGTCAAAGTCCTTATGCTGATGGAAAATCATCTGTCCACAAGCCAACTCCTGAGCCTTGCAGCTTGGAGCTCATCACAGACAGACTGTGTCGATACGATTTTCTTGCTGACTCTGGCTCAGCTTTCTAAACAGACATAAGAATTGCTCATTATCTGAGTGGCATGTCAGTATCACATTTCTAAAAGCCTCTGGCCTGGTGGATGGAATGTGGTGCTTCACATTATCTGTGCAGCCACAGAGATGCTTCCTGCTTGTTGACTGGCCTCAGAAAAACACAAACATTTAATTTGTACCCATTATTGCCACAGGCATTTTAGTTAAAACCCACTTCTTTCCAAAGATAATAAACTACAAATTATAACAGAATATTTTAAGGATGAAACAAGACTGTGTAAAGAAATCCTACGGGGCGCCTGGGTGGCTCAGTTGGTAAAGCGTCCGACTTCGGGTCAGGTCATGATCTCACGGTTCATGAGTTGAAGTCCCACGTCAGGCTCTGTGCTGACAGCTCAGAGCCTGGAACCTGCTTTGGATTCTGTGTCTCCTTCTCTCTGCCCCTCACCTGTTCACATTCTATCTGTCTGTCTCTCTCAAAAGTAAATAAACATTAAGAAATAAAAAAAAAAAAAGTAATCCTATATTAGACATTAATGCTATAAGAAGTCCAAATTAATACAGCCCATTTACTTGTTCAATTATTTACTCATTCTCTCTATGTGACTGGCAATGAACTAGGCACTGAGGATGCAATTATGAATAAAACACATGTCCTGCCCTCAAACAACTCCAATCTACTGAGGCAGGTTGGGTTTGTAAAGGAAAACACTTAAATCATCTCATTTCTAAACATACCTCCTTTAAAAAATCTCTCCACTTTCCTTCTGTTCACCTTTCTGAATACCTGTGCTTTGGTCTCAAGGATTGAAAAACAAGAGAAGCATCTGAGGTTTCTGATGTGGAGATGCTGGGAATCAGTTCAAGTTAGAGCTCCAATTCCATACTTCAAATCCCATAAGTTGGTTGGTCCAGCTCCCTAAAGTTTTGGGGTTCACTGTTTAGCCAAAGAGAGTCATCATCCCACTTACCAGTGGGAGACTGTGGTTCGAGCTAAGGAGGCCCATACCTATTTACTGGATTGGACTGCCATAAACACTGTGCAGAAGCCCTGAACATTCCAGAACACAGAGTCACTAGTGCAAAAAACAAAACAAAACAAAACAAAACAAAAACTCAAAACCTCTTTCCACTTTCACAAGTCAGGTTTGGCCTTAGAGGTGTCAAGGTTTTCTAAATGTCTCTCATTCTGTACAACTTGCCATGCTGATGCCATTACAGGCCATCATGGTTGCTCAAGTTCATGTGGCTGCTTGCCATTTGTCCCTCTAGCCTCATCCGGATCCCAGCCCTAAGTTAGCAGGATGTAGCTCTGGCCACAGGAAAGCCTTCTGGGCTCCATTCTTCCACTCAACAGATATTTAATAAGCACCAACCGTGCCCTGACATTGTTACAGGCACTAAGAACACATCGGTGGACAAAACAGACAATAATGTTTGTGCTTGTGGAATCCACATGGGTGGGGAGAAATGGCCAATAAGCAAATAAAACACAGAGTATGCCACACAGCAGGGTGTGTTACATGGAGGAAAATCTACCAGGAAAGAGGAAGAGGGAGTCCAGGGTGGGGAGGAAGTTGAGATTTTAATGAGTGGTCAAGAACGGAGCCATTGAAAAAGGGACATGTAAACAAAGTCCTGAAACACATGAGCAGCGCCCCGTGCAGACACCCACATCTCCAGTGCCAGCTGACTTCTCCCCCTGTGTTCATAAAACAGCCCCACTGAGAACTAATATTTACTGAGTACAATCTTATGTGCCAACCATGTTCCATAGATGGGTTCAGCTCATCCTCACATCCCCGTGGGTCACTCACTGTGTTTAACCATAAAGACACTGACGAGGAGAAAGGTGAACTGATTTCCTGAATTGGGTCACATGGCTCGTACATAGAGAGCAAAGATACAAACCCAGGAATTTCAGATTTCAGAACTCACACTCCATATGCTGTCCTGCTTGTCTGGGTTCTGACCTGACTAGCTGATTCTTGTGTTCCTCACAGCTTTTTTTTTTTTTTTTTTTTTTTTTTTTTAATGTTTATTTTTCGAGAGAGAGAAAGACAGAGAGAGACAGAGAGAGACAGAGAGAGAGAGAGCATGAGCAGGGGAGGGGCAGAGAGAGAGGGAGACAAAGAATCCAAAGCAGGCTCCAGGCTCTGAGCTGTCAGCACAGAGCCCAATGCAGGGCTCGAACCCACAGACTGTGAGATCATGACCTGAGCTGAAGTCAGACAATTTACCAACTGAGCCACCTACGTGCCCCTTGTGTTTCTCATACCTTAGCACACAGCTTCATTACTTCCCTCCTAACCACTCCATTCATAAAATTGTAATAGTTGTTTTCTGTCTCCTTGTAGGAAAAAGAGCTGCCCATCTGGCAGAGCACTAGGGAAGGAAAACACTGGGATCTCCACACTGGATCTCAGAGCCAGGGCCACAAAATGGCAGAAGACAAGAACAATGAAGACAACAATAACAAAAAGTAATTAGCTAGTTTATACATTTATATGTTTATACCGAGTCCTTTCTATCTGTCAGGCACTGTGCTAAGAGCTTTGTATGGGCCTGTCCACAGGATAAGGATGGTATTGGCTTTAAATATATCATCTGATTTATGGGGCATTTAGGTGGCTCAGTCTGTTAAGCATCCCAGCTTCAGCTCAGGTCATGATTTCTTGGTTTGTTAGTTTGAGCCCCGCGTCGGGCTCTGTGCTGACAGCTCAGAGGCTGGAGCCTGCTCTGGATTCAGTGTCTCCCTCTCTCTCTCTGCCCCTCCCCCAGTCGTGTTCTGTCTCTTTCTCTCAAAAATAAACATTAAAAAAACATTTTAAATATATTATCTGATTTAAAAATGTAATCCTCAGTATTTTACATTTCATAGATGAGCAAACTAAAGGTAATAAGTGTTAAATAACTTGCCTGTAGCACCCACAGCTAATAACAGAGTCAGATCGGAAGACCCATGACTCTAACACGATGCTGTACTCCAGAAGTTGGCAAACTTTTTGTGTAAGGGGCAAAAGAGTAAATACTTCAGGCTTTTCTGTCCTTCCCACTCTATCTTTGTAGCAGGAAAATAGCCATCGACACTATGCAAACGAACGGGCATGGCTGTGTTCCAATAAAATTTATTTATAAAACAGGCGGTGTGCCAGACTCCACTCAGGAGCCACAGCGTGTTGACCCCTGCTATAATCAAAGGAAGGAGAACGCCATTCCTTTCCACTCAGCACAGGCATCAGTATCAAGTAACATGGTAATTTTTTTTGGAAAGTCCTTGTATTGACATATGGTTTAAAGAAATGGTAAGCCATATAAAATAATCTCTACTTAGGTTTGCAAATTTCTTAGAGAGTATCACATTCTTAAAAACTTGAACACAATATCACAAAGATTAAGATGCTTCTCTATTATGACATTTCATCCTTCAACATCTGCTTTAATACAGATCTCAGCAGCAGGGGGTGGGGGGAATTTCTCTCTCCATTGCTAGAGGCAGGGCAAGTCCTCATTTTGAAAGCAGAAAAATCAAGCAAATGAGAAGCTACATGCTTTTGTGGCCTCCAAGGAAATGAAACCAGACTCCAGATTGCTTTGGCTAATCTGGGTAAGGGGAAATCTGGGCTCTGAACAGAGACCTCTCCACAGAGCATGAAGGAATCAGTGCAAACCACTGACATGTGACAAAATCGTAACCTGAAAAACCAAGAGCCAAACTCTGGCTGCTGATTGGTTTAGCTCATTACTAAGATGCATTTTTTTTTTTTTAATGCTTATTTATTTTTGAGAGAGAGCGTGAGCAGGGGAGGGGCAGAGAGAAAGGGAGACACAGAATCTGAAGCAGGCTCCAGGCTCTGAGCTGTCAGCACAGAGCCCAATGCAGGGCTCGAACCCACAGACTGTGAGATCATGACCTGAGCTGAAGTCAGACAATTTACCAACTGAGCCACCTACGTGCCCCTTGTGTTTCTCATACCTTAGCACACAGCTTCATTACTTCCCTCCTAACCACTCCATTCATAAAATTGTAATAGTTGTTTTCTGTCTCCTTGTAGGAAAAAGAGCTGCCCATCTGGCAGAGCACTAGGGAAGGAAAACACTGGGATCTCCACACTGGATCTCAGAGCCAGGGCCACAAAATGGCAGAAGACAAGAACAATGAAGACAACAATAACAAAAAGTAATTAGCTAGTTTATACATTTATATGTTTATACCGAGTCCTTTCTATCTGTCAGGCACTGTGCTAAGAGCTTTGTATGGGCCTGTCCACAGGATAAGGATGGTATTGGCTTTAAATATATCATCTGATTTATGGGGCATTTAGGTGGCTCAGTCTGTTAAGCATCCCAGCTTCAGCTCAGGTCATG